TCATTTCAACTTTTGTAAGCTTGAATGCTCGAAGTAAATGTGAAAAATAAACTGACAGAATATGATATGAAATTACTGAGACCAATCAAGTTGGCCCTGTTCGGTGATTTAATGATCTTGTGACTTTGACATTGGTAAAGTCTAATATCTGGGGTTTTTACAGGGTATTTCAGCCAATCTTCTGCTGTAAAACGGCTATTTCTCGACACTGGAGTGACTATGAAGCTAGATATTTTGTTTATGACAATTTTGGCGATACTCAATTGTCATATTTCAAGGTACAGGTCCTGCAAGGTCATTTTGTGGAAATCTTTCCTAGCGATATTAGAGGTCAAAAAGGCAAATCATAATTTTCAAGGTGAATTTTCAATAAAATCATACGAACAAATTGATCTAACTCTTTTTAAAAACACGTTAGAAATACAAAAGATGTCACAAGAGTTGTCAGGATATGGAGAATCAGGATCAGTAAGTGTTCCAGGCAAGGGCGGGCGGCTCATCAAAACTGCCCAAATGTTATTCAATTGAAAATTCACCTCCACGTGGTAATGACTGGATAACTCAAACGAAGCTTTGTATTTGGCATGTTCTTTCAAGAGGTTGAGTTCAAATAAAGATATACAGGGCATTTCAGCTAATTTTATTGTTGTAAATTGGCTATATCTTTGCTCCCGAGTGAAATTGAGGTGTGATATTTTGTCCATGGAAATTTGGGCCATACTCAATTGTCATATTTCAAGGTCAAGGTGATTCAAGGTTATTGCGCTATTTGACCTCTAATTGATATTTGGAGGTCATTTTGTAAGAGTTCAAAAATTTTCAGATTGTTTGATGCTAGTGACATGTTCATAACTTATTCTGGTCAAAAGATATGAATGTTTACACATTGATGAGTCGATCGATTGGCTTTAAGCAAAATGCATTTATCTTCCCAACGGTTTAAGATACCAACTCGTAGTAAGCATCAACCAATCTGAACCCAATGCTTAATTTATCTCTAAAAATTGACTTCTAGAATATGCTTGGTTACCAAACAATGTGCAAAAGATAACGTAACCAGCTCTAACTTCACTTTCGATGCTGTATATAAGAGTTTCTTAATTAGGAAATTTGATTACTACTGTTGAAGACAAAATCAATGGCTGCATTTAGTGATTCAGATGATTCATTAGTAAGTCTATCCGTCAACACATTTTTAAATTGTGTTCAGAGCTTTTGAGCTCTGCTTGGTCAAACCGAGAAAATATCACAATACAGCGACTAACGTAAGTTCAATTTCATTGATAATTTTGCATGAAAATATTCAGTGAATCTGTTAAATTCAATCAAGATTTGATCAAAGTGATTGATCAATTTTTCAGAGGTAGAAGGAACAATCGCATTGCATTGAAATCCAATCACACCTCAAGTTCACGCAGGGCAAAGATATAGCCAATTTACAACGGTAAAATTAGCTGGAATGCCCTGTATAACGATAAACTTATGACTGAATGATAAACTTTCCCAGTATGATTATTTGACCTTGAAAATTATGATTTGCCTTTCTTTTGAAATCTAATATTGCTATCATATACGCCTCATTTATTAGGAGCTGAATGACCAGTTGAAATTTTCGGTCGAGGTTGCCGTTGACGTGGTAAAATATTATTCTTGCCATATTCTGAAAAAAACAAATCATAAAAATAACTGTATGATTATTATATATTATACTTAATATTATCTAATTTTTGCGTATTAGTAAGATTTAATAAAATCTTATATCTAATGAAATCTAATATCAAATGAGATTGTGTAAAGATCGAAAATTAGATTCAATATTTAAAATCAACGATAACATAAGCGCTAGATTTAAGATTAAATAATATATTAAAATGTTACAATTGAAAGATTATTTTATTTGGCGTTTCATTTATTCTTGACCGTCGTTTGTGCTCTTTACTTTTGAACAAGAGGTCAGATCTGGATGACATTTACAGAGTAAAACTCCTGCAATTGAATAACCATGAATCCAGAGTCTTAAGGACATTCAAGGTCATTCAGTTATTTGACCTCGAATTGACTTTTGCATGTCAATTTCTGAAAGCTCAAACTTTTTCACTTCGGTTGATGTTTGTCACATGTTGATAACTCATATGATTGGGAAGATAAACAAATTTGCACCAAAAAGCATTCATTAACTGAACGGTACACAAACACTCATATCTTTTTACTCACATGAGTTATCAACATGTAACTAACATCAACCGATGTGAAAAAGTTTGAACTTTCAGAAATTGACATACAAAAGTCAATTAGAGGTCAAATAACTGAATGACCTTGAATATTTTTCAGATCTGTTAATGTTGGTTACATAATCACAACTCTTACTATTGACAAATCAACCGAATTTTCCTCGAAAATAATAAATGATTGACTGAAAGGTATGAAACAATCATACTATTTGGCCAGCACGAGCCATGAATCAGGAAAAGAGAATATCATGATATCTAACATACACTGGACGATCTAATTTAATGTCGATTCCCTTAGTTTAATTTTTTGCTTCTCTTCCATCGCCCTTTTACTCATATGAATACTGGTTAATTTGTTCAATAAGCTTTTAAGATTAAGCTTTTCCTTCTCTCTCTCTCTTTGAATTGCATTAAACTATTGTTAATTGACTGAAGAGGGTATTTTTCAATTATTTGTTCATCACGCACAACTTGGTTTACTTAAAAAAAGTCTAATTACTCATTACCTGAGTTGATATTTGCGTCAAAAAAATCGGAAATTTCTGGATTTCTATTGATACTTGAATTGTTTAAATAACAATCAATATAGTCAATTTTTTTCTATTCAAAAGTTAGATTTAAAGAGACAAAATGGTTCCATTGAAATGTTCCAATTGCCTTGAATAACTATTTAGAGTTAAACTTGACTTTTCAATTTAATGAGTGAACCTCTTAATGCTGAATTGAAAAAGATTATTTTTGATGAGTTTCATTAATATTTACCTTAAAGTGCATACTTTGTATAATATTTTATCACATTCATCAGAGTAAATTTTCCTTATCAAATTAGACATCAGTTGACTGTTGCTGCTATTATTTGTACCAAATCATTTCTTCTTCAGGAAAAAAAGGAAATAACTATTTTGCCTCAAAATTAATATTAGATATCAATTGGTTTTGATGATAATTTTGGGCCACAAAAAAGCAAACGAAAGTAATGATGATTAGAAGGTAAAATCAAAAGGAAAAGAGAAAGAAAATGAAAGCCAAAAATTACCGAAAGGTTTTATTTGGAAGCAATTTCAACTGAAAAAAAGGTTAACTCTTTTCACTAGTCTCATGTAATTTCACCAATTTCCTATTTCAATATCCAATTTATGAAATGTGTTATGGAATTTTGGTTCAAACCAAAGTCTCGATTTTTTTCTTCTTTACTCTTTTTGTCTCGTTCGGTCAATCCATTTGTCCTCTTCTCACTCCCTGTTGGTCCATTGGTTGATTAATGTTGCAACTGAATGTGAATATTTTTTTGCTCTTCTCTTTTTACTCCCAGTTAATGAGCCTTACACTCGGCTATCATTTGGTTTCCCATTCTTCATTAATGAATCAACTGAAAGATTCGCTGAATGGTCTTCGATTGAGACCCTCTCAAGGTCACTTCATCATTCACCTTTTGGAATCCCTTATGGCAGTGCTCAAGTTAACAATGGATTCAATGGAAACTCATGAATCTTCTCAACTTGCTCTTGATATTATTTCCTCACTTCTCAATAAACCTGAATCAATCAATAGTCTAACGGTAAGTAGACCATCATCATTATCAACCTTACATGAGAAGGTAAAATCATCATGAAAACAATGTTTGATGTGAAATCTGTTATCTCACAATCTGATGAGTATAATCAGTAAGAATGAAATTTTTTCAAAACTCAAAAGAAGCAAAATTTTCGTTTTCCTTTTTACCTCAACTCATGTTATCAGATTCAATATTGTTGTTCAGTAAATGAGTTTTCCACCTTTGAAACGGATTTAGCTCATGAGGTTGAGAAAAATTCAATTCAAATGTAACCAATCGATTCGAAACTTTATTCTTTTAGTGAATTTTTTGATGAAAAACTGATGAAAATTTCAAAGTTTTTCTTCGAGTTTTGCTGTAATTTGTTTTATCCACAAAAATTCATTAATGACACTATCATGAATGGTTCAAAATGCAATGAAAAACAATTAAATTACGAAAGGATACAATGGTTGATAAGGGATGGATGATGTTGCGATCCTGATAAGAGTTGCTGATGGAAATAATAATGAATGAAAATTGAGTTGAACAAAACAGAAACTATCATATGAACAGGAAGTAAGTCGATTGATGTTGTTTCATGATCATAATGAAAGGTACCATGGAGACTTTTATCTGATAAATTGAACCTTTTCTTTCGTTCTCTTTCCGTCTTTTTTTGCTCTTCTCACCCATCTTTATTAACATACATTATACATTGATAAATATCTATATAAATAGCAAAATAAAGATTGTCAATTGGCTCATTTTGGATAAGAAGAAAATCGAAAGATGAGAAAATCAATCGAGAAAATATCAAGAGAAAAACGAAAATTTTCGATCATTAATTTATCCGATTCTCTGTATCGAGTCACATTTGAAAATCAATCTGAAAATGCTTACCTTTTGCAACCTTTTTTGTCAACAGTAAAAGCCAAGAAAGTGATATGAAGAAATCCGAGGATAAATAGAAATGGAAGAGAAAAAA